CACAACAATTCTTTGTCCTTTGAAAAGAAGATCTGGACTCCCTGTTTTATTCAAGGAGCAGGTGTGTGCAAGCTAAAGCAGTTAAAAGATGTTCTATTTTTTTTTTTTTTTTATTGCCAAAAACACACTACAGAAGCTCTTTAGGCTTAAAATAAACTAAAGCATGATTGTATACATAATTCTAGCACTCAGGAATCTCAGGCAGGAGGACTGTGAGTTTTAGACCAGCCTGGGCTACATAGAAACAGCCTCAAAAAACACAATAAACTGAAAATCCACTGGCATGGCTTTACAACAACTTGTTAAAAGTTCCAATGGCTAATTCAGTCTTGACTAGCCACTGAAGGCAGAGACAGCAGCCCATGCTGTTCTTAGGAAGGACAGCGTAAAGAAATGGACTAATAAGCTCGACCCTGTTTGAATGAACACACTGGTCTGAACATGAGCACACGAACAGTGAGAACCAGCGACTTTCTTACACATGGGAGAGGCAGCTGGAACACTGGCCTCGGAGGCTCACCCACTGCATTTCAGCGGAGGTAAGCCAGGCGTGGTATTGTTCCCCTGCCTGTTTCTGAGACAAGGTCTCATGGAGCCAGACTAGTCTACAAGTCATTATGGAGCTAAGGCTGGCCTTGAACTGACTGTTATCATACAAGTGAAAACATAAACCCACCAGTATATTTTCCGTGATCTGGCATTGTTTTCCTATTTCTGTGGCAATTACTTTACAGACTGCACCCACATGAAAAGATTCTGGTCTCCTCTCCTGAATCTAAATTCCACACAGCATCTGAGAAAGCTCTCCCCATGAACTTTCCATATTCAACTATCTGTCTGGTGCTTCATCCATGTTAATTTTGCATTATCAATTCCTTAGGGAACTTTCCTAGATGTCTCTGTTCAATAACCCTCAGTATCTAGTACCTCCAGAACCTATCACCAGGGAACACATCGCGGACACCTAGACACCGGTGCTCACCGATGTCTCAGCACTGAACCACATGTTGCCTTCCTAAAAGGGTGAAGGTGCTTGTATACTGAAGTCAAAGTACTTCTTTAGAAGAGGTACCTGGTGCTACAGCTCACTCAGTAGGACTAAGCTTGGGAGCACACACTGAGTTTCTCTGATCAAGTTACAAAGAGCTCTCTCTTATCATACTCTACTTGTCTGTCAAAACCAATGTCCTTCCCAGGGGGTGTGGGCAGTCCAACTCCCCAGCTGGTTTTCATTCACACTAGCAACTTTAACTCCGTTTTAGGCCTCACAAAACGAGAGCTGTGTCCACACAAAGCCACAACAACCAGCCAATTCACTGAATCCAATGAAATAAGCCAATTCACTGGGGGGACACAAACTGTCAAACTGGTTACTTGGTGCCTTATAGACCAAACAATGCGTGATTCAAACAGTTCAATTTTCAATAGGTTGTCTTGTCATGTGGCAGCTACAGTAAGTAAAAGATTTCCTTTATCACTGTTTTGTCTTTTTATTAAACACAAGAATAAGAACATATCTGACAAAAGGGTAAATAGCCAATAATGTCTAGCCTTTAAATCGTGGTCAAACACACCAAATTTCAGCAGACTGAATGAGCCCCAAGAGCACAATTGTGGGGCAAGGCTCTGGGGCCTGCTTTTTGGCTTTAAAATAAGAGCTGCTCGTCTCGATCTCATCTTTGCAAATGCACAGCCTTGGGAGACAGAGACATGAGCAGCAGCAGCTTTAGACAAAGCTCTATTCACAGTCGCCCAAGTGCAATCTCGGAGTTTCAATTTCATTCAGTTGAGTGCGGAAGGCTCCCACTGAGGGTGGGCTGCTGAATGGTTCCGTTGGGAAAAGGACCCGAAGAGGAGCATTGGCTTTACAGTCTGTACTTTCATTAGGAGAGATGAAAGCGTCCCTCTCTCTGACTCTGCTTCTATAGTAAGGTACTAATCTAGCAAATTAGCAAGGGTACTGAGAATTTTTTCTTTCTTTCTTTCTCCCCATCACATTGGTACCCAGAGCAGAGCTTCTCTTCCTTAAGGTGGTTGCCGGGGCGAGCACAGAGCAAGCATCTGAATCACTGTGTGTAACCTTACACCAGGGAGGAAGTGGTGTAGTCAGGAGGCCCACAGCAAGTCTCCTCCCTGGTCCAGGGCCACTTGCTGCTAGGGCATGTCACCTTATGCCACACACCAGCTCCACCCATCCCTCTTCTAGGTCTAGTTCCATGGTGAAAACAGTCCAAACTTGTGGCCTCTAAGGACCATGCTCCCTTTTACAGAAGGAACCAGAGGAGGGACATTATGTGCTCAAGGTTCAAATAAGAAAGCAGGGAATTGGGATATGAGCCTCAGAAGCTACTACTGAGCTCTCTGAGCTAGCCTGACATGAGCTCTGCCCCCAGGCCTCCCTGGCAGATGGATCATCTCTTCACAGCCACTGTGTAGATCTGGCTGCCCTATGTGGGTGCTATGGCCTGGGCTACAAGGGGAGTAGCACTTCCCCAGCTGTCTGGCCTGAAGGAGGATCTGAGTTGTTCTCTATGACTTGCTGAAATCCACAATGTTTCCCCATGCCCCACTTCAAATAAATGCTGCACTGCTTTGTCATGCCAATAAAAATCAAAGGATAAATCCCCCATGGAGGGTGGCTTGCACTCTCTGCCCTGATGGTATCTTGCTCTTCCAGTAAAACAAGTGTCAGTCTGCATTCCCAACAGCAGTAGTCCTAACAGGAGCCTTGCTCTGTGGCAAAGGCTTTCATCTCTGCAGGGATGACAAAGCAGCCCTGCTCATTCCAAAACACCACTCTCCAAGTCAGGGAAACACAGTGCCAGTGTCTACCCATTCTCCCCTAAGGATACTCCTAAAATGACTGCTGGCACGCCATGGTTTTAGGGCCAGAGGAATCATTTGTCTGATTTGGAGAGGCGTGGCATGCATAACTCAAGACAAGCTGGAAGCTGGTACTTCTTGCCTGCTAATCCAGTAGCTGAGGACATGTCTGGTCCCCAGCAGGGAGACAGCTCAAGATGCAGAAACTAGCTGTTTCTACTGGGTAAAAGCCTTTGCCACAGTGAGATCTAGAAATCACGTCTGGTTTGACAACTTTTAAAAACTTATTCATTTTGATTGTTTTGGGAAAGGTTCCAGGTCGGCCTTAGGTTTGGTAGGATCCTCCTGTCTTTACCTCTTGACTGTTGGGATTATAGACGGGTACCACCACCCTTGGGTTTTTTGTTTGTTTATTTTCCTGGCTGCCCTGAACTCACTCTGTAGACAGGACCACCTCTGGCACACTTGGTTTTATGTGGTTGGTGCTGGGACTGGAACCCAGCACTTCCCGAAGGCTTGGTTCACTCTCTACCAATTAATTGAGCTACATCCCCAGTCTGGGAATGTGTTTTCAAAGCATCATTTGCAGCATTACAAATATTGCCAGAGTCAGAAAGAGACTTTTAATTCAGTGTGCTATTATGCCACCTTCCTAATTCCCAGGTGTGCAAACACCCCCACAAATCATAAGACTTGTCAGCATTCACATAAGCTGTTCCAGCAACAGTTTTTACCAGGACTGGAGGTGGAAGAAAGCCAAATCCTTCAAAATGCTCAGATTCATTATCATCAAACAGGAGAGCTTGGGGAAACACAGGGGGGGGGGGTTGGTTAGCTTCCTAAATAAGAGCTATTTTCACTGGGTCTTCCCTCCAAGTTTTGAAGAACAAAATCCAAGAGGCAGACATGGACCCCGCGCAGACAGACAAGCTGTGGAAAAACCAAATGGGAAGAAGGCAGTGGCCTGAGATGGGGCCAAGCCCACACAGCACAGCTCTGACCTTTCTGACACTGCGCAGACAGGAAGGCGTGGGACCTTGGCCAGCAGTGACTAAGGGGCACCCTACATGTCCAAGGTTACAATGGTGTCATGTTCCTCCAGCTCCCAGGGCCCTGGGCTACCACAATGGCCTCTATGCTACCTCTCAGTACTCCATATTATACTCCAGATACTTCTGATATGGTATGTCTTCTAAGGCATTCATTTCTCCCTCCAAGGACCTTGTGATTGATCTCTGCTGTTTCCCGGCGGGGAGTGGAATGAGTACCATCCTGTGTACAACGCTGGCCATCCCTATCAGAGTCTCAGCAAGATGCCATTCTCTGAACAGTACTTCCCTACTATAAATGGTGGTGGTGGTGGGGGATTGGGTGAACTTTCTCTGTCTCAAAGCCCAGACCTGAGAGGACAGGGCACTACCTCTAGCTCTCTGCCTTGCGAACACCAAGCTGTAGCCTTCAGCAAGAAAAGGCATTTCATCTGCTACTGGCATGTAAAACACTACTAGCAGCTTCTTCCTTCCCTTGTTGATCCCTGTCCCTGTCGTGCCCGTGGTCCCTGAAGTTCAGAGACACACTAATGGAAGAAGTGACTGCAGACAGACGAAGTAAGGGACACGTAAAATCCAATTTTTCAAACATGAGTAAACTCCATGCTGACATTTTTTTTCTTTTTTTTGCCATTTTAGCACTTTCACAGATGCGTGTGCGCAGGGAACCGTCCACTCCTCAGGAATGTAGAATGCAGCGCCCTTTTGTGATCAGCATGGAAAAGCAGCATTGAGAGCCACACAGATGATTTACGTTCAGGCCAAGGGGTGCAAATCTGCAATCTTCAAGGGAAGAAAGAACACCCGTAATGTCACCGGCTTGACCACTTGTCAAGACGTTGAAGAGCTCTACCCTACCTGCTCATCTGGGCAGTTACTGTTCTAGGCAAAGGCAAATCTAGGATACCTATCCAAGGTGCTAATAATTACACGAGACTTGCCAGTGATAGCTATCCAATGCACAGGCGGACCCTTACCCAAGGCCAAAGAATAAATGCACTCTCCCGCTTATGTGCTCTCACATCCAGTGTTTTTTAAAACCATCTTGTCCTTGAATAGTGGTCATCAATCAAATCACACCACGACGCTGTGCAAGCCACTACCGACTCATCCTAAATGAGGTCTTACCTTGGTGTTCCTCCTTAGACTTCGAAGGATGTTCCTCCTCCTGGGGTCCTCGTCTGTTTCATATGGGATGACAGCATTGTCTCCTTTATAACCCTGGGATGCCTGATCCTCCTCTTTCTTCCGGATGGGTCCCAGCTCATCATCACTCCCCACACTGAAGCTAGTGCGGTAGCTAGCAAACCGCCCCAGCCGGGTGCATCTCGTCCTGTACAGCACAGGCTTACTCACGGCGGATACCTTGCGGCCTCGCTCTAGAGAGCTGGTGTCCATTTCACTGTCAGAACCATTGCCACTGCCATTGGACTGGGCTTTGTTGATGTTCCGAATGGTGATGATCTTGCCCTGGGTGCTGTCGTGGGGCACAGAATATATGTTTTCTTCCTCATTCCTTGGCTTGACCACAGCATCCATTGGCTCTGCGTAGTCAGAAGGATCAAACCCGTCCTGAGGCAGCCAGGGGCTAGAAGATACAGACTTCCTCTGTCCCTCCCGATGGCCTTGGTCTAAGTAGGACAGATCTTTTGTGATCTCAAAATGGACAGGAGGCTTTGGTTTGACTGGTGGAGGTACTTTGTTGTTCAATTTACTCTCAAAATTGCTCATTATGAAAGACAGCCCGTCATTTCCCTCCAGCTCCATAGAGAACTTGGAATGGTCTTTGGACAGGGAGGGCACTGTCGCATCTTCCCGAAACAGGTGGTAAGATGGAGGCTCCACATCCTCTTCCGAGTCCTGCAAGTTTGAGTTGCAGAGTGGTGAGCCAGCCCTCGGGGAGTTGAACACTTCTTCCGTGGTGCTGCAGGCCTCGGCAACGTTGTCGTACATGTGTGTGGCCTCAACTATGTTCTTCTTCTCCACCACGTCTTTAAAAAAGGGGTGAAAGACCTCAAGTTTATGCTGGGGTTGGCTACAAGGGATGCTTGTGAATCTCCCATCAATTTCTTGTGCAATTTCCTCCCCCTCCGTCAGCTGCTCGCGACTTAAGTCATTGTCCAGGACATCTATGGCGCCATCAGTGAGTGCAACAAGCTGGATGGGGATGATATCCTGCACTTCACAAAGAAAGGCACGCAACATTGCCAAGGAGGCCTTGCGCTTGGCTGAGTAAAAAACAATGTACCCATGAACCAACCGGCTCTTTCGGATGCTGAACGAGGAATGGTATGAAAGAATTGTCAGCTCAATGCGCTTCTTGTGTAGTCCAATTGGAAGTTCAAGTAAGACAGAGTTGCTGCTCCCACAGTGGGAAGACTTACAGGTTTGGGACTGCAGGACAGGAGAGAGTATGTCATCTGCACTAAAGGGATCACCACACATCAGACACATGACAATTCGAAGGTCCACGTCAGCCAAGTCTTTGATACTAGCAGTGGAGCTGACCAGGTTTAAGTTGCGCTTAGAATCCAGGAGTCCCTTTAGAACTTGACTGATCTGCTTCTCATTAATGTTGCGCCCATAACCAATGCCAGCAGAAGCAGGGTCAAGAAAGACACACTGTAGTTTGCTAGCAATCTGCTGGCCTTGTTGTATTAAACTGTGCAGAGTCTCTCCACTTGTGTCCCCTCTCTTGTTAACTAAAATTAAGGTCAAGGGGAGGTGAACTAAGTGATTATCCCGCCTGCCCAGTGTGGACTCTCTGCTCTTCTCTATGCTCTCCACCACATAAGACAGTGACTCCTTTGAATTGTAAAGGCAGAGGCAGCCATGGGGTTGGAAGGTTGGTGTCTGGAAAGAGTTCACAGGAAGCCTGACATTCCCCTCTATTGGCCTCAGGGACAGCTCATACATTTTACCATCTATCACGTATTTGTCATCATTTGTACAAAGAGCTCTAATTTCATTGGCTAACTCTCGGGCAAGGCCATCTTTGCCTAAGATAACCAAATTGATCCTATCAATATTGGGGTCAGACAAAGAGTTCTTCTGATTCCTATCAGATGGTCGGATAAAGCGAGAACTAATCAAGTGCTCTATCTTAGCATCTACACAAGCGGGGCAGCTTGGGCATGTCTCCTTCGTGGGATGGTACACAAAATGAATGTGCTTCAGAATGAGGGCATCACGCTCTGCTTGGAGCTTCTGCAATGCTTTAAATCGCTGCTCTTCCCCCAGAACATCCTGGATGACACCCATCTTTTCCTTGCTGGGTTTGGCATCCAGCTCCAGCTCATAAAACAATTCTGAGTACTCCAAAAGCAACTCCTGGAACTCTTCCTTTGCTCGGTCTATGATCTGCTTTTGGTGCCTGCCATAGATGTCCATGTACACAGACTCCTCCAGCCACTGGTAAAAGTCTTCATTCATAATGAAACTACGAGCCTCTTCCCAAGGTTTCCCGGGAGTAATGAAAGGAGAGGTCTCAAGGTTTTCTTTGAATGCCTTTCGCATCTCAGCTCTCTTCCTCTCATTCCTCAGCTTCTCCAAGTGGGTCTCATACAGCTGCTCGGCAGGGACAGTATCCATCAAATCAAAGGGAATCCGCTCGTTTTCCATGTTGTCAATGTGGCTGGTGGCATCCCATGGTGTCTCTTCAAGTACAACAAACCACTTTAAGAACTCTGGCTTGGTCTCTAAGAGTTTTTTGGCTTTAATGCAGCTCAGGTGGTCTACTTCATCTAGATTAGGTATGAGGGCCTCAAAAGCCAGCGGCAGGGCTGCCAGGTAAAGCTTTCTCCGGCGCTCAATGTGCTCATGCTTGAGGCGGTGGATGTGCTGCAGGAAGAGCTTCTTGGCCTTTTGTGTCCCCTCCAGGTAGACATAGTCCTGGTACTCAGGGGAGGCCTGCATCTTTCGGCTGACATTCAGCCAATTCTCATTGTGGTTTTTCACAATGCGGCTCACCAACCACTCATACTTGTCCTTTGCTGTAGCTATTTGCTGACTCTGCTGCTTGAGAGCTTCAAAGTAAGGAATGATTTTTGTCTTCCCTCGACTCTTATCAATGAGCTGCACTAAAGTACTGAACGCCAAGTCCACATTCACATTGGATCTTGCTGAGGTCTCTACAACCTGGAGGTTCTTTTTGCTTAAGGCAAAAGTATGTGCATCTCTAATGTACCGCTCAACACCCTCATCACACTTAGTCAGGACTACCACTATGGGCTTTTTTGTTTTTGCAAGCTGATTGTAGAGATTAGAAACAAACTTGAGCTGGTCATCGAAGTTCCTGTTCATGCCCCTGCTAACATCGATGCCCAGAAGGAAACCGTCGACCAGCAGCTTTCCATCTGGCATCTGTTTCTGCTCAAAGTCCTGCTCCAGCCCCAGCTGGTCAGTGCAAAAATACATGAGTTTTTCAGCTGATGCGAGCTTGGTGGCGGCAGCTCTCTTGATGTAGGGCTGCAGCGCCGTGCTCCGATGAGGTTGAAAAGTCTGATCGTCAATGAACTCGGTCTGCTCCACAATGTGCACCTTACACTCCACACAGTCCTCCAGGGAGCGGCTAACTTCTCCCCAGTACAGAAAGTGGTCATTATTGACCACCCGCCCACCAAAGTCACTGGTGCTGAGGACAGAAGTGTGGTCCAGGTGAAAATCATCTGCACTTGGGCGCACAAAGCGGTTACACAGACAAGACTTCCCAATGCCACACTGGCCTTTCTCCTTCTCAGTCCCAGACAATCCCACCACGCTGATGTTGTAGGTGGGGATTCGAACATCTTGCTTTCTTGCCATCATCATCTTCGAAACATCCTGCCACAATCAGCTACTTCCAAGATCAGATTAGTGTTGTGCAGTGGAGTTGAGAGGGCTTCTTAGCAGTGCCAGTGGAGGCCAGCTGCCCAAGCCGCACAAGTGTCAGGTCCCATAGTGTTCTTACAATTTCTCATCGCCTAATAGCCAACATGTCTACCTAGAGGGGGGGGAGGGGGAGAAAAAACATCAGCATCCAAACTCTATTTTAACCACTGAATTACAATAAAAGTATTTTTTTAACCCCCAAAATACTTAGTAAACCTGGTGTACCAAGCCGTGTGCTGGGTGAGCGATTAAGGCTGACATCAGAGTTGCTGAGACTGTTCCAGAGGGTAAAGGTGTTTGCTGTGTAAGCCTGACAACCCGAGTTCAATTCCTGGATCCCAACAAGAAAGGAAAAAACAAATTCCCCAAAGCTGTCCTCTGACTTCCACACACATGCTATGACACATGCATGCCTGTGCAGGACAGGGTGCACACACACACCATACAAAATGACAATGTAATAATGAAAAGGCTACTATCAAGGCAGGAAGATATAAATAAGGAGAGTGTAAAATGGTGACAACTGAGGGCTCTGGAGGAAATGTGGCTAACTCCAAGGCAGGATGGGCACAAGAAATGTCTTCTTTGTTTTGTTTTGAGACAGGTTTTGCATGTAGCTCTGGTTGTCTTGTACTTGAACTCAGATCCACCTGTCTCTGTCTCCCAAGTGCTGGCATTAAAGGCATGTGCCACCCACCATGTCTGGCTGAGTCAGAAATGTCATGTACAAGTAGAAATAATGGAGCATTTCACAAGGGCAATGGGGTCATTCTAAAGGGATTCCCACAAGTAAGGTCTAGGATAATCTGTGAACCAAAGAAATTGTAGAGTAATAGATTACAGCTTACTGAAAAAAGAAAAAAAAAAAAAAAAAAAAAAAAAAAAAAAAAGAAAAGAAAAGAAATGAAGCCCATACAATTGGATCAGATGAGAGTCATGATGGAAGGTTAAATGTAGGGAAAATCTTGAGGGGCAGAATGTTGACAGATAACTCAAGTATCTCCTAAGACTGCCTATTAATTATCAGGAAAAGAAAAGCGCTCAACAGCAATTATAGTGGAAAAGGCAAACAACACCTTCACCAGGTAACCAAAATTCACATCACCAGTGTGGCATGGACACTCGTAAGAGACTGAGGAGGCAGGGAAAGCTCAGTAGTTTAGGAGTAGCTTTGGCTACACAGAAGGAAGGGGAAACACAGACAAGGAGGAGGAAGGAAAGAACAAAGCTTTCTGGAAGACTCACAACACTGCTTTCAAAATTTACTATAAAGCAACAGTAAGTTCACAGCTAAATCATCATATATAGCACCAAATGACTGTGTGTGATGAGAGGCGGGCATGGTTTGACACAAGGTCTCACTTGTGTAGCCCTGGAACTCACTATGAAAACCATGCTGGCTTCAACCTCATAGAGATCCTCCTGCCTCTGCCACCATGTCTGGCTGGCTAAATGACTTAACAAGGCTATTGAGACCATTCCTTGGGGGAAAGGACAGACTTAATTAATTAATTAGTTAATTAATTAATTAATTCATTCTATGTGCATTGGTGAGAAGGTGTCAGATCCCCTGGAACTGGAGTTACAGACAGCTGTGAGCTGCCACGTGGGTGCTGGGAATGGAACCTGGGTCCTCTGGAAGAGCAGCCAGTGCCCGAAAGAATAAACTGTGTAATGCTGGAGCTTGGGAAAGGGCATCTTCACACGGGAAAGGACAGAGGTGGTCTTTATCCACATCACATACAGAGGCTAACCCTAGAGCTGGAATGAGACTCGGGTGTGAGGGTTCTTATCTAGCACATGGGCACTAAGTTCCATTCAACAACAACAAAAACTAACTCTAGCAGGGTGTGGTGGTTCATACTTTTAGTCCCTTAAGAGGCAGGCAAACCTGTGAATCCAAGGGCAGCTCGGTTCACAGAGTGAGTTCCAGGGTATCCAATACTAAACCTGTCTTAAAAAAACAAAACAAAAGAACCAACCAACCAAATAAACAAAAAGCAACTTTAAATGAACCAAAGACCTAAAACTACTAAATGCAAAAAAAAAACCTAGTGCAAAAGAACCCGATGACAGCTGGCCACCATGCCTGTCAAAGAACATGTACATACATGTCCATCACACGCACACCGCAGCCTGCAAGCACATAAGCACATCTACATGTACACATACTCAATTCACACAGTCAATTCTGAAAACCACTTATGGCAGTAGACTATTTCTCTCTTAAGAGCTTCAGAACAAAAGTATAATGCTGGTTGCCACAGCTGAGGGGAGAGTGAACAGAGACCCTGCATTCATTCACACAAAGAATGAAGCCACGGGCATGGGTGGTGGCAATGGTAAAATAGACATTTTAACACTTAGGAAACTGTACTAAAAATGGCTAATTTTGTGTTACATGACGTGTTTTTTTTTACACAATAAAATTAACTGAGGTGAGTGAATAAAGACCAATGACAGAACACTTGACAAGCAAGAGTAAATAAGAAAAAATGCTTACTTATGAAGTGGATGGCTACACTGAGATAAAAATATCTTTACTTTTAGAGAAGTCATACTGAAGTATGAAGGGAAGAGCCAAAATGAAAATAAATGTTCAGAAAAAACTGTGTCTGAGAAAGAATAAGAATGTCAATGGGGGAGTAGGGCTGAGGCTCAGTTAGAAGAGCGCTTGCCTAGCCTGAAGGAAAGCCTGGGCTTGGCCCTCAGCCCACAGAACTGGAAGCAGGTAGTGCCTGTCTGTAATCAACACCTGGGAGGTGCGACGTCACAGCCAAAGCCCGTTCTGGGCCAACATGGGTCTTGTGAGAACCTTTCAAAACAAAACAAACCAACTGCAGATGAAAAAAATGTTAATAGTTACATCTGGATTAAAGTATGTGTGCTGGCTAGTTTTATGTCAACTTGACACAAGCTAGAGTTACCCCAAAGAAGGACACTTCAATTGAGAAAAATGTATCCCTGAGATGTGGCTTTAAGTCCGTTTCTGGCCCAGCATGGGGAACGAATGCGGTTGAACAAGCCAGTAAGCAGCACTCCTCCACAGCCTCCATCAGCCCGTCTCCAGGTCCCTGCCTTCGAAACCTTCGCCCTCACTGCTTTGGACAACGAACTGTTTGTATATGGAATATGGATGGTGGAAGTGAAATAACCCTTTTCTACCCCAAGGTGCTTTTGGTCATGGTGTTTCATCACAGCAATAGTGGCCTCAGACAGTATGTATGATATTCCTTTGTGCTGTTTTTATTGTCATCAAATTCTCAAGTTCCTCTGATGACAGCTGCCCTGTAAAGTTTCCAGGGTCGCGCTGGGTTCCTCCATCTGTAATACCTGTCGAGGAATGAGTACTAGGGTGCTACAAAGGACATGCAAAGCTCTCGAAAGCCAGCCGTCTAGACAGGTGATCTCCGTAGAGCATGTTAGACACAGGAAGTGGACTCTACAAAAAACAGCTTCCTCAGCAGATAAAAAGGTCAGCCTCGTAGCCACTTAAAATAATGCCGTCGGTCGGTTGGTGAGTCAGTCTCTCTCTCTCTCTCTCTCTCTCTCTCCCCCCCCCTTCTGGTTGGTTTTTAGAGACAGGGTTTCTCTGTGCAGCCCTGGCTGTCCTGGAACTCACTCTGCAGACCATGCTGTTCCTGAACCCAGAAATCTGCCTCCCAATGCTGGGGTTGAAGACGTGCACCATCACTGTGTGGCTAATACAGAGTCTTTCACTAGCTAGGACAGGAGGCAAGTGCAGAGCTGAGGAGAGGCACTATAAGGGACTCAAAAGTTTTTAACAATTTCAGTCATTAATAAGCTGTTATCAGTCTGACACAAAGTCTTTGGTAACATTTCAGCTGAAGTAAAATACACTGCCCCGTTTACCTCTGCACACATGGGCCTCTGGCATCTACTGTTCTGTGGCACCGACATTTCTTTGCACACTAAAATGTAACTGTCTTCCTTGCACACTAAAATGCCAAGTCTTCACCCAAGCAAATCGTCTTCAGAGACTATCTAAAATAGCAAGCAGACCATTTCTTTTATGTCTGGCAGGAAGCTGGAATTTCTATAAACTTCATGCTTCGGTGTGCTTCACGGAAGTGTCAAGAATTCAGATATTTAAACTTTTTAAACCTGCGGCTCCTGACCCTTGGGAGGGGGTGTCAAATGACCTTTCACAGGGGTTACTTAAGACATCAGAAAACACAGATATCACTGTTTGTAACACCAGCAAAATGATAGTTATGAAGTAGCAATGAAAATAATTTATAGCATGAGAAACTGTACTAAGGGTCACAGCACTCAGAAGGTTGAAAACCACTGCTTTAAAGCCAAGGCATCATATCATGGTGCTTGGTTTTGTGTGGTGCTAGGGGTGGACCCAAGTATTTGGTACATGCCAAGCAAGGCTCAACTGCAGACCCTCCCTCCTGGGGAAGTCCACTGCGGAGCCACGCCCCAGACCCGCCCTCCCTGGGGAAGTCCACTGCGGAGCCACGCCCCAGACCCGCCCTCCCTGGGGAAGTCCACTGTGGAGCCACGCCCCAGACCCTCCCTCCCTGGGGAAGTCCAAGCCAGCTCTCTTCTAACCCTGGCCCCCAGTTCTCTCCCGTCCCCCTTTCCTTTTATTGTTCCAGCTTGGCATAAACCTCCTGCCTCTGCTTTTTACTCTGACACAGGACCTCACAGGCAAGCCTTGAACTCCACGTTCCTCCTGTCCCTGCCTCTTACAAGTGTGAACCACGGGGCTCAGTAATTCCCCGTTCTGTTCTGTGGGGGGGGGGGGAGAGAGAGAGAGAGAGAACTGCTGTCCACCATGATGACAACCTCAGGAGTCATAGGTCACTTCTAAACATTTTCCATGACAATTCAGAAAACTAAAGCTTCCACAGAAATCCGAGATGTAGTACCTAAAGAACGACGTGACGTGTGACTGCGTGTGACGACGTGTGACCAGCTGCCCGACCATGTCATGCTGCAGAAGCCCGAGAGAAACACCTCCCCATCCACTTCTCTGTGCGGCTGCCTGTAAATATCTCAAGGGTACTTACCTCCCTCTGACACAGAACA